ATATATATATATATATATATTCCCACTCTTTTTTTCTTTATTTCTAGATATTTAGTCAACATCTTTTTTACCATAAAAACTATGAAACAAGCTACAGATCAATATAGTAATCCAATCTTAGATCTAAATATAATTAAAAAAAGCATTAATAAATCAAAAACTGGAAAATCAATTGCCCTGTATTGATATACAAGTAAATATTTAGTCTCTGAAATTAAAAATTTGAAGACCTGCAGAGGCACATGCCATCCATTTTCCAATTAATGGACATGTGGAAAACAAATCATACTACTCGTTGCATTTGTGGTTTGTTGCAATAAATATAAATATATACATATATATTCATAATGGGTTATTGCTTGTCCGCCTTACCTTAAAAAAATAAAAAGAAATATAAACAAAAAACACCTTAATCTATGCTTTAAAAATAAGGTATTTTAGTTTTTTTCAATGGGTATTTATTGAAATGACGTAGTTTTGAGATGATTTTATTCTTAATTTTTAGGAGGTAAGGCTGATAGGTACTATTCTTTATTTACAATTGCGGTCAGTGCTTCTCCGCCTTACCTCCAAAAAATTAGGAGGAAAAAAAAAACACATTAATTTATGCTTTAAAAATAAGATATTTAAGTATTTTTCAATAGGTGTTTATTAAAATAACGTAATTTTGAAATAATATTCATTCTAATCTTTAGGAGGTAAAAATGATAAACAATATTCCCATATAAGAATACTCAAATATAAATTCTTTATTTTTTTATGTAGATGATCTGTTTTTAACTAAATTAAAAAAGAATTAGTTTCAAAATACATACAAATTAACATAAGAACATTCATACATGAATTCTTTACTCTCAACGTGAATAATTTGTATTTGACCAAATTAAAGTAAAATTAGTTTCAAAATATACATAAACTGGCACAATAATACCCAAATTATTAAAAAAAATTCAAGTTGATGGCATCGAAATATAGAACCTAAACTTGTATCAGAAACCTAATTAAAATCACCCGACCATTCCTTGAAATGCACAGAACTACATGTTTAGACAAATCCTAAGAGGTTAATTATGCAAGAAGCTCATGTGCTTGGACAATAAATCACTAAATTTTTTGTGTTAGATGCTCCTCCACGGACAATGTTCTCCAAAATCCCATAAGGAATATTAGTTTATGTTTGGATGTCACTAACAAGAAGTTCTCATTTCAGACAAACTTTTTATTTTTATTTTTATTTTTATTTTTATATTCTTCAGAGTTCAGACAAACATTTTTGAATGTTTATTTTCCCCCCAAGTCATATGATTACATATATAATATAAGAATATACAAAGATACTTTTAACCCCATTTTATTTATTTATTTATAATAGTCAC